TAGCTGCCTTGATGTAGTTTGTTTATAGCCCATCAGTTATCTTTTTATTTCTGACAATTGAATTGTTGGCTTCAGAAATCACAAAAGTGGTGTTATATGTGGAGATTATCCCTGCTGAACAAAAGGTGCTAAGTATATTGAACCTTTGTTAGCCACAAAGCTATTTTCTGCACATATACAGACATCCACATGTAAAATCCCTTTGCTTTTTTGTCTTTGTGCCCTTGTGATGCTAAGCTCAGGGTCGGCCTACAAAAATACATCATCACGCACCACTCTTTTTCTGTTGGGGTGCTCATAATACTTGTCAAGATCACGGAGTCTGGGAAGCTGAGGCAAATAAGGAAGATTACTTGTAATGCACATTTTTGCCTCGGCATATCAAAAATACGAAAGACGCGTAAGAAAATGTCTGTGTGTTTCTAACAACATCACTGAACCATTAACTGACAAACTCATGTTTTCAGCAATGAGTAGCTTCATGAGTATCTTAGGCAGGGTCCCCAGACTACGGCCGGGCGCATACGGCCCGCCACGCCACTTTGACCGGGCCTCCACCTCTCTGGCACCTCACCATTTTGAACTGGCCAAAGAAGAAAAAAAAAAAAAAAAAAATTATAAAATATTTTTTAAAATATTTTATTTCTAGTTCTGTCCAACTTTTTTGTGAAATAATAAGCATGACTCTCCAAACGAGGGGCGGTAATCGCTGTTCATTCCCGTCACCTGAAGGATTAGAACTCGAGCCGTCAGTATGCAGATGGCCGAAGCGGCTTCTGGTAGTGGCCATCGAGCCAACAGTGGACGGTCAATCAGATCGCAGCGCCTCTAATCAACGGCTTTAAAAGCAACGTATGTAAACGTTCGCGTGTTGACATCTGTTACATTGCATCTGGTTTAACAACTAAAATATTTTTTTTATTAACCATTGTATATTTTTAATATAATTTAATAGTGATGTGGTCTGTATTATTTATATGACGTATGTTATATGACCGGAATTTCCGCCACCTTACAAGCTGATCGAAGATCATGGCGCAGAAAATATTAATGCTACAGTTGAACAGCAGTGTAAATGGCGTGCAGTAAAGTGAGAAATTGACAGAGAGTTCGGGTTTTTTTAAAAGAACAATGGACCAAGGATTATTATTTTGTGTTCCATGGAAGGACCGTGCCATTTGTATTATATGTAAACCAAAAATGTGGCCGTGTTTAAAGAAAAAAAAGTTTTCACACCTTCGCCGCCATTCTTACGGACGAAAACCCGGCACAGAGAGTATGCTACGCCTGCAGCGGGCTAGCGACGGAGATGATAAGGTTCGCGTCTGAAAGGGCGGACTAGCTGTTCAACCAGGGATGCCTTTCCTCGTCATCCCGGGTCACCTGGCTGCTGTCCGAGCTTAGCTACAAAGTAGCTCAACCTACTGTACACCACGGCAGCCCGTTCACAGACGGAGAATTCGGGAGGGCATGATGCTGGCCTGGCCGAGGAGGTGTGTCCCGAGAAGACAGATGCCCTTCCTGGGGTGGAGTCTTCTCAGCACAAACCGATGACGAGACGAATTGGAGGAGATGGGGGAAACGTGGTTTTGACCAACTGAGAGAGAGAGCCGCAGAATTCAAGTGTTTTGCTTTAGCACATGGATGAAAGTAAAAAAAAATGTACGTACAAGGACACGGAACAACTGTTGATTTTTATTCGTGGAGTCAACACACGTTTTTGAAGTGTCAAGAGGAGCTGGCATCACTGAGAAGCCTAAAAGCACAGACAACTGGAGAAGACCTTTTGTCGAAGTGTGCAAAAACAATGGGCGAACTTGGTCTGCAATGGGCCTAATTTTGCCAGTGTCACTACAGATGGTGGCGCCTAGCATGGTCGGATATACCGAGGGGTCTAGTAGGGCCGCTTGAACGGCGAGTTCGAGGAACGAGTTCTCGCCCCATCCGATTCAAGTCCACTGCCTGATCACCAGCAAGCCGCTGTGCTGCCAAAGTTTTGAGTGGGCGTCTGTGATGAAGGGTGGTTGTGCCACCGTTGTCAACTACATCCGGAAAAATGGGCTGAAACACAGCAGTTCCAAGGCTTTTCTCTCCGAGCTGGGGTCTGCTCACCAGGATGTGCTGTACTACACCGAAATCCGGTGGTTAAGTCGAGGCAAAGTATTGCGCCGTGTCTACGACCTGCCTGCCCGAAATCAACACCCTTCCTCCAGTCTAAAGGTGAAAACGGTACGGAGCTGACGCAGGACCCGGTAGTGGAAATGGGACCCTCCCGCGTTTTTTAACTGATGTGACTGAACTGTTGAACCACCTCAACCTACAAGCTCCAAGGCAAAGGGAATCCTCATCAGCGGACATGTTATTCCCACATAAAAGCATTCGAGGTCAAACTGCAGCTCCTTGTGCGACAGGTCCCAAAAGCTGGACTTCCACACATCTCCCTGCCACACCAAACGCTACTGCGCCGAGAAACCAGCCGCCCCTTTCCCAGTCGCGAACGAGTGCAAAGATACCCTGGAGATGCTGCAGCGAGAGTTCAGTGTGCCGCTTCCGCGAGCTTCATGTCAACAACAAAGACATAAGTCTGTTCCAGAACCCCTTTGGCTCGCTGACATGTGACGACGCCACTTTCCCTCTCTTCAGTTTGAACTAGCCGAGCTGCAGAATTGTGATGTCCTTAAAGGACGGCATTCAAGCCTGACCACCTCCTTGAGTTCTATGCTGAAGCTACCAGAGGGCACTTACCCAAACATTAAACAAACATGCTCTGAAGATGTGTACCGTTTTTGGCAGCACCTACACCTGCGAGCAGAACGTTTTCCCGCATGAAGCAAATAAAAAATCCAACGAGGAAACAGACTCTCAGATGAACATTTGCATCAAACTTTGAGACTGGCAACCACTAAGCTACACCAGACATCCGAACTTCTCACCAGCCAGAAGCAAGCACACAGTTCACCACTGATAACTGGTAAAATATACTGATTTTAACTATTACAATCATTTATATGGCTGTATAAACATGAACTATGATTTTTTTGATGAAATAATGATTAATGCTTTTTAATAGAATTTCTAATGACATACTCCGCTACCACTGTATTTGTAAAATCACATCACAAGGAACAACAGGCACAGCATATTTATGTAATTTACTGAATGTGTCCCATGTCACTCCACCCTTTATGCCAGGTTTTCCAGGCAGCAAGAAGAGGGGACCTGCAACTGCTGACCTCAAAGATCACTGCCCATCCATCCTTCCTTCCACCCTGGCTACAAGTACCAATTCAGTTCACCTACTGCACATATTGCTGACTTCCCATTCTGTTACTCTCTTCTAGTTTAACCTGCCGAGGGTTTACTGCTCAGTCTCTCCTCCCAATCTCTTCTCTCAGCATCTGCCTCTCCATCGTTGTCTCTCTCTCTCCCTCTCTCTCCTCTCTCTCCTCTCTCTCCTCTTTCTCCTCTTTATGCACTGCCCCTCATCTCAATCTCCTATTTCAAAGGGATGATAATTGTGCTGTAAAAGTGTTTGGGTGCTCATTGCATTTTCACCTTGAACAAAAAAAATCTCACCTGAATATACAAATAAGAGTTGGTTAGTTGATATATTGTTCACCAAGTTTCTTGTCTTGATGATTTCTCATCTCACTGTAATATAGGCCTACCATTTCTATTGTATCACTCATAAACTGTCAATCACCATGTTTTTCTAACCTTTCCTTGCTATTTTTACATGGTTGTTATTAGAAAATAAAAGGAATACCTGTGGTATTTCAAATTGAAAAACATGTGAAGTACTCACTTCTTTTGCAAATCACTTGTAATGATGAACTATTTTGTGCTAGAAATTATAGCTATAACAGGCAGTGGCCTAGTATACAGCCCACATGATCGATCCCGGCCCCTCATCACAGTCAGGAACGATAATGTGGCCCCCAGAGAAAAAAGTTTGGGGACCCCTGATCTAGGCTAACACTTTAAAGAGAAACTTTGTTTTTTTCACATTTAGAGTCTTTAAATATCAAAACTGCAACATTCACACACATGAAAGCATTCCCCCCTCATGCACACTGAGATATGAGTGGTTACAACCTGACTCAGCAGACATGCCCCGGTTCAGAATTAGAGAAACAAATTCCCTGCACCCTTGAACACTTATGAGTTGTACATATTACTTTTGTCTGGTCTGCATGGTTACGCAATGTGTGTGCATTTCCATCAAAGTGTGTACTGTACACTGAGAGGGCTCTTCTTCCCCCACACACCCCTGCAGACATCACTTCACACAGAGCCGCTGAAGGGTCACACACATCTCTCTCGCGCGCAGCCCTTCAGTGACTCACTGCACTCTGGCCAAAGAAAAGGGTATTTTATCATCAGCTGCACCGTACGCCTACACTGACTGGGGAGCAGGAGCGAGGACCAGAGAGAGAGACAGGACGGAGAATAAAACTCAGGTTAAGAGTAGTGGAGAAGTGAAAGTGAGATTAAAAGAAATACAGGAGAAGTGTATTAAATAGATGTGCAGCGATTATATAAACTGCACCAGTGGCAGTTCAGCTGAGGTAGACCTTGATCCTGAAAGCTGCAGAAGAAGAATGAGGCTGTGAGGCGGCACGCAGAGAAAATGCGTGCGGAGGCTTCGCAGCCAA